CCCTACAACTGTGTTCAACTGAATTTTTAATCACATCTGACAGCGAAAATTTAAATCAGGATCTGCATCTTGGCTCTGAGAGGACCAAGTACATAATGAATGTACTATACTGATCAGGACAGTTTGTAACACTAATACAATTTAAATATAGGCAAGCCACTGAGCTACAGACTTTAATTATTCATTCTCTCCCCACAAGCCAAACTGCGTGGAGGAAGAGCTGAAATGAGCTCTTGCATTAGGATCTGGAAGACAGCGTTAGACTTGTTTAATGCTGATACCCCAGGAGTCAGCCCTGGACACGCGTGAACTGGTTTAACTGGTGGCCGGAGAGGGAGCCCTGCAGCACACACAGAGCAAAACCAGGTTAGGAAGCAGGCGAGGATCTTTGTAATTTAGACCGAGGGGCAGGGAGGGAAGGGAGAGCGATTGGCGGAGGCCGATCGTGTCAGCGCCTCCGCGGTCGGAGCAGCCGTAGGAGCGGTTGCCAGACCGGTGCCGTCTTGCTGAACCAAATGAACGATCAGCTTTCGAACCAGGCCAGGGAGCAGCGTGGTTTCTATTCAGCACTTCCTAGATTTGATCTGCGTTCAGGAGCTCAGGGCCTGGAGTTAGAGGACTACTAATTAGGAGAGCTTGGCTAATTAAAGAAGAACTAAAGCACAAATCCCCCAGCAAACTGCTGGTCCGTTAGTGGCAGCAATGTGCTGGGGGTGGTTCAGGCAGCCATGGAGCGTCTTAAAAACGCTCATGCGAGCTTTCGTTGCTCCTCCGCTCTCCTGGCTTTACTGAGGCAGGGCGTTTGGTGTGCGTTAGCCTGCCGAAAATAGTGACGGGCACTTGCTCCCCGCTGCGGGAGCAGCAGACCTGGGGCTGGGCGCCCGTGTCTCTGTCCTCGGCGTTCATTCCAGCTGCAGGCATGAAAGGGGTTTTCATTTTTTTCCTTTTATAAGCAACGTATATCACAGTATGGCTTCTAATAGGAAAAGCAAGATCTGTATAAATTCATAATGGCCACAGTAATCTTTCTTTTCCGTGAGAAGCTGGTATTAATAGGGGGTGTCACAAACTATGAATTTTATTGTAGTGATATTCATTACATGTGATACACAGAGAGAAAGGGTGATGCAGCAAGAGCAGTGAATTATATTTGTTGCAAAGAGTAGAGCTAAGTGGAAATAAATTAAGCGTGATGTGTTTTAGGAGATTCTATATTCTGTGGCACGGGGAAAAAAAACCGTCCAAAAATGTTGATACAGAAGAGGCTTGTAAGGTGCAACAGGAGATACAAACACAGAAAAATAAAATATATATTCACTTCCATGCGCGTACACACATTCCTTGATGCACTTTCAGAAGAAGGCTGCAAAAACCAAAAAGCCTTCTGTTCTAGAAATGTACAGAACCAGGGTAATTGCTACCTGTGGTTGCTGTGGGAACCATAACTTCCCAATTCCAGATTTTAAGAGCATAAAGTCTCAGACAAATGTGCCATGTTAGTGTAATTTCTGTCACACTAGAGGAAATCAGCCAATTTGTGGTTAATATAAACATGTTAGGAAAAGAAAATTTTGTAAAAATAGGGAATCAATTGAGGGTTGGTTTTTTTCCCCCTTAAAGAAAGACTGAAAATTGGCAGCTGTGCTGGAAGCTTTTGTCTCCACCCAGAGGCCGATGTGTCCGAGTCCAGCCCTGCCGTTGGTGGCGATGCCCGAAGCGCCGC